AGGAGTGGCTCACCCCGGCAGCCACAGGAGTAGCACAGAGGGAAGGAGACAGAGAGAAAGAAGGCCCCAGAGATCAAGGAGAGCCAAGCGCTGACACCAGGTCCCCCACTATACACAGAGCATGGGAGGAACTGAACACACTGGTGGCAGTGTTCCCTAAATAAAGCTGTGACCATAAATAGGCAGAAAAGGTATTTTGTGAGTTTGCATGTGTGTATTAAAATTAGAAATTTTATATTGTGATTAAAGTTTGCTATTACTGTTGCTGTTTTTCCAGTATAACAATTACCAAGAAGTATTCATTCATAAAGTTGATCTCGTTTTCAAAATTGTGAGATAAGAATGTACCTTGCCGGCGCATTGCGATCGTGCTTGCGCTCCTGGAAGTTGCGCGGTGTAAGGCTGCTGACCCCGCGTTCTCAGTGCCGCAGACAGGCACCCAACAGATAGGCGCTTCCTTCAGAAATGCCCTTGGCACTTCCAAGTAAAAGCCAGACGTCCTACCATGAGCTAACATGGATTGTGCCTAAAGATTTTAAGTTTTTATGACATCATTATTTGTTCCTTTTTCTTCTGTCTTGATTTTTGAGCTTTTCTCAGTGGTTAGTATTATTGGGAAAATAGTCCTCTTAGGAGCATTCTAATGACTAAATAGACGTTTATTTTAGCCTATATTTATTTTCTTTGGAACTTTCTTCCTGTAGGTAGTACTTTATTATTTACTTACATAGGTTTTATCTTGAGGAAAGTGAGTAGTGTCTCAGTAGCACTGGCACTCAGCTAGAGACTTCTGCACCTCCTCTGTCAGTTCATGCCATTCTGGTCCAGCACGTCCCAAGTCCTGATTGCCACTGCAACATGAGCCTCTCACCTTCTTTGCTGGGATAGGACATTGCCTAAAATATGCTCCTAGTCAGCCTTCTGTTCCTAGTTCCTCTCCTGATCGTTTCTCTGCCGTGCTTGCTTTCTTAAATGTAAGCCTGATTATGTCAGTTCTTACCTCGATGTTTTCATGCATTTTCATTGCTTCCAGAACATGGGACACAAGGCTTTTCAAGATCTGCCTTTGTTCTGTGCTGTATTTGATAATTTCCCCCTCCGCCTCTTAGCTACATCTATGAGGAATAGTGCAAATGTGTGAGACAGCTGTGATGCTTATTAATCAAGACATAAGTAAGCTCTTCTGATCATAGATGAATAGAAGAGAAATCTCATTTGCAATTTGAATTGAGTTCAAATTGTAAATAAAGCGTATCTAAAGCTTCATTTTTATTACCCTGTCCCTACCCCTACCCCCAGTGCTCACCCACCTAGGCTGCTGGCTTACTTCTGTCAATAATATTTTTAGAAATTTGATGTCTAGACAAATACTTACACTCTCTTTATAGTTCTCTATGTATTCTCTTGCTTTGAACTGCTTTTCCCCTTGACATTTACCCCTTGTCTATTACAGTGTTGAGAAAAAAGCATTTAGACAAATGTTTATATCATTTAGTCAAATAAGCTTGTCTTCTTTAAGTTCCTTCTTTTCGCACTTCCTATACTACATTAGTGTGGGCTAGGAGCAACTTCTTTGTAATATGGTATTTATTTGGCTCTTTTGCTTAATAACTATTATCATGCTTCCAAATCAGTCTATTGTGTATATAAGGAGTTGAGTTTTGTTTTGATTGGTTTGGTTTTGAGACAAGGTCTTGCTTTGCAGCCCAAGCTGGCTTTAAACTCATAGGAATCCTCCTTCCTCAGCCAGCTGAGTGTTGGCATTAGAGATATGTGTCACTACTTCTGTATTTGTAAATATTTTTGCTCTGAACTATTGTGTTTGGTAGTTGTAATTGCTACCAAACTTCAGTTTCCAGACAGAACTGAAGCTGACAGGTCTTGGGCATGGCCTGGTACCTCCCAGTCAGGTAGGAAGTCCCGTGTGGTACCATCTATTGCCTCTCCTACTGACCTGGTATTTCTGCCCTTGCTGGTGAAGACTGTAGATCCTTTGTGCACTTGAGTGTGCTTTACGGATCTTAATTAGGACTGTGAACAAATTATTTCATTAGCTTTCATAGTGTTTCTTAGTTGGGCAGGTCTGGTATTATTAGTGCTGTTTTTTCAGATGAGGATGATGCAGCTTGAGGTGATTGGGTGACTTGGCCTGTGCATGTAACTAGTGATCTACAAACCCAGAGTGGGGCAGGTTGTCAGGCTGCTGGCCTGTTGCTCTTTCTGTTGCTGGCCCATGATGGCTCTTAGCTGCACTCTGAGATACACTGGGAAGAGAAAGGTTGGTACTGTGTTCTTCAGATTCACTGGGACGGTTCTCTGCTTATGCTTGGTGTGAAGGTGTACAACATTAAAGTTCAGTGATAATTTTTGGTTTAACTCAGCATGGGTTCTGTATACTTTAGTGGCACTGATACTAGACATGGGTAGGAAGTTGCCCCCAGTGATAATGGAAATCAGAACTGCCTCAGCAGCACAGATTTATAAGGGAAAGCTTCACTGAGAAAGAAAAGATGAGATGTGGGTTAAAGCATGAAAAGGAGAGAGCTGAAGGACACACGGTCTGCCCCATATCGCTGGCCTGTGGCCAGGCAAGCTAGTCTCATCTTTATGGCCTCACTGGGGTGGACACGTGCTGGTAGCTCTGCTGGGCCACGAGGATGGTGGGGTTTTTGCTCCCATGTTTTGAGGACTCTTCCTGGCGTGAGACAGGGATTAGTGCTGTCCATCCTGGAGACACTGGTATCCCTTTTGTCAAGGTGTCACTGCACACCTCGCTGTCCTTGCAGAGGTAGTAAGAACAGGGAATAGGGTGGGATGTACCGCTACATCTTCAGGAGGGAGGGCAGTGAAAAGTGTCACACGGTCACCTTCACTGGGAAAAGTTACAGCTGGCGGCCTAAGAATCCCACTACTTTTCCCATGATACATTGAGTCAAATGATGTACTTACTGACAAAAATGTGTTATTTAAGAAAGCAATAAATAGATGAGGAGGTGTATTTTATGGTATAGGATTTTAGGGGGTGATGACTTTTTTTTAACAAGAAAAAGATTTATTAAAAAGTATATGTCATATATTCATGGGAGGATGAATTTGAGTTCTTGCTTTTATAGTGTCTTCAACAAAGGACAGTGAATTCTTAGAGAAAAGCCAGGAACAAGGAAAAGGACTTTGCATTTACGGGGCACTAACCTGTAGGAAGGTGCAGAAAGGTGCAGAAAGGAAGGTGCTCGGGGGCCACGCGCAGATCTGGTGGAATTTTCCTCGATGGCCTCCGCCAATGGAGTGCGGAGTTCAGTGCTTCACCTTTGTTCTTCCTGGTGGAAGGAAGGCACAGTACCTTTCCTTTGTAATTTCATGTCTTGATTTGGCAAACAAGGGGGGGCCAGAGAACTTTCCTGCACCCACTTCTCAAACTGCCTGAAGTCCTCCATATTTTGGAGGGGGGCATATTCTGTCCTCCTTCCTGGACTATTCCCACTCTCAGGGTAATTCACAGGCTTAGTTTAACTGATAGGAGGAGGAGCATGAGAAGGGAAGGTCTGCACTCATGCCTGAGAGTCCAGGCCAGCAGTGTACATCTTGACGAAGCACATCCTGTCACTGTCGTGCTACCTTGTGATCCACACCTGTTCTTCAGCCAGTGAACTGACCATGGGGACATTTGCCTCTTCTCAGGGCACCTGAGTGTGTGTGCAGCTTTGCAAGAAGAGTATGTGTGGAACTAGAGTCCGGAGGTCTTTGGGATCATCACACTTCCTTCAGAGTTTCCTTTTGTTGTGTCTGCAGCAGCCGTGTTTCATTGTGTGTATTTTTCTAGCAGCTGGTTTTCCCTAAGGGGACTTTAATGTGTTTAAGGAATTGGGCATGATTAGTATGTTAAGTCAAGGAAGTGCAAAATTAAAAAGGTGGACGGCTTTAGATATCACACATCAAGTTCAGTTTCTGAACTTGTAAATAACACCAGAGCAGCCTTTGTTCTGTGGGAGACGGTTGCCTGGCGTGCAGAAGCTGGGAAGGCAGAGTCAGAAGCTTCTGCCTTGCCTTGTGGTCGGGGCCGGTCTCTAACCGCTAGAGCCTCTCTTTTCTTATTTGTTAAATGTAAAGTAAAAATGCTTCTTTGGCATAATTGTAAGGATTTAATTAGAGAATATAAAGACTCTGCATTTTATCAAGTGCTATTATTACTTATTTTAATAAATATTAATTCCTGTATGGCAAGTACTTGAAACAGATGATTTCAATTCAGACTTCCTGTATTACCACAAGTATTCTGGCTAGACTTCTGAAATCAAGGTGGCAGTAGCTCTTCCAGGTGTTTTATCCATTTGACAGATAAAGAACCTTGGATGTAGAACGTCTGACTGCGTAGTGAGGCTGACTTTGAACCCACTATGTCACCCAAACTCAGTGATCTTCCTGCCTCAGCTCCTGAGTGCTGGGATTGCAGGCTTGCACCACTATGGTCAGCTGAGTCTAAGGAGCTTACTTGCTCAGGAATTGACTGTGGGCTGATAGTTTCTGATTTAAATCTCTTTTTCTTTTTGCTTTGCAGCTGTGCTGTCACTAATGGATAATTAGCGGAGGTTTAATACTAATAGCAGTGTGGATTATACTTCCAAGAAACAGAAATAGCGTTATAGACTAGGAATCAGGAGATCCAGACTTGATGTGTTTTTGTCTTATTTTTATTTTTACTTTTTTGGTGTCTGGCTCAGCCTGCCCTGGCGGTGAGGATGGCATGGCATGCGGTACCAGGGGTGAAACCATGGTTCCTGTGGTTGCCTAAGCTTGCCTAAGCAGGTGCTTTAAACCTCTGAGCTATCTCGCCAGCCCTCTTGGTCTTATTTTTAGATACGTCACTTAAATATGTTTATTAACTACATTTAAAATACTTGACTGTCTTTTCACTAAATAGTATATAAATATTTTTGTATGTGATCAAGAGTGTCTTACAAATCCTTACTTGATATTTCCGTATGGCTTGTGTTTGCTTTTAGTCATTCCTACACTGGCCAAGACTACAGTGTGCAGAGAAACACTGGGAAGATCTCTCTAGATCAGATTGACTCGGTAAGTGTCTTCTCCCCTTCTCCCCAGACCTTCGTTAAGGGAGGAAACAGATTTTCTTCAGAGATTTTTCAGTGATAAATGAGACAGAATGTTATTTTGTAGCTTCCTGATCACTTTCTCATGTCCCATGTATAGGATTTGTTTTCAACATAGGAAAACCAAACTTAACAGGAAAGTTATTTATAGTTTAATGAAACAGAATTCAATAAATTATTCCGAAAGCCGATCTTTTAAGTAATGGTAGCCAAATGGTACATGTTTACATTTGAGTACCATGTATATTTAGAAAAGGAGATATGGGAAGTAAATATGATAAGTTTGTTAGACAATCATAACGTAGTGTCACAGCCTGGTGACTCAGTGCGATTGGATCTTCTTGTAGTTGGAGGCCAGACTTCTGAAATCAAGGTGGCAGTAGCCGTGATTTCTTCTGGCAGCCACTTGTCTAGAGGTGGTGCTTTGTCTCCATATGGTCTCTTCACTGGGTGTGTGTATTCCTGGTGTGTCTTTGTCTTCTTATAAGAACACTAGTCACATTTAGTTCCAGTATCATGAGCTCACCTGTAACCTTAATTACCTCCTGAAGGATCCCGTTCTCAAGCGGACACACACTCTGAGTTCTCTATCCTTGTTTCCTCCTCCTTACGTCTACGTCACTTGTTCCCATCCTATTTGAAAAAGACTTCAGTGCTTCCTATAGCTATCTTTTATTTTGCTTTTTATGTATAATTTTATTTTCTTATATAAGAGAAGCCATGAAACATTTAAGCTTGTATATCCGATTTATTTCACTTAACATTACGGCATCAAGGCACATCCATTTTCCTACAAATGCCTCAAGTTTATATCATTCTTTATGGCACAGTAGCACTTAAACATGTCCAAAACCTTTTCCTTATTCACGTGTCTGTGGGTGGGCAGATAGGGCTTTTTCAAGATTTAGCTATTATAAATTGTCCTGCTAGAGTGCCATTAAGATACTTTGCTATACTTGGTTAGAATTTTTCCTTAATTTCTAATGAAGTTTGTACTCTTTATGCAAATGAAAATTAAGTAATACGTAAAATAACCTTTACTTAGACAGCTACCAAATTATTCACAGTAAATTTAAAATATCCTGCAATTTTAATGCCAGGAAATAAGAATTATAGTAAGGTTATTAGGGACAGATCAGAATGAACGGATTGTCTACTATTTGAAAAATTATAATCCAGTACTTGCAGTTAAATACAGAGTTTAAAAAAAAAAAGTGTATACGTCAGGAAAAGAAAAGCTTGTATAAATATTTTAACACTAAATTTGTTGAGACATCATGAGATTAATACATGTTGCCTTTGGCCTCTACAATTATAAGAGATCTTCCTCAAATAAGGTCCACAGTAGTGACCATGAGTTTCCAGAGGCTGATTAACACAGCATACTGCTCAAGTGTGTGCCCTTTTTTTTTTTTCCTCTTTTTTTGGCAAATTGTAGAAGCTGTGAAGAATGTCTCATCTCTTAATTTCCTCTAAACAGTTATTTCATCGCCAATTAAAATCCCTTCTACCCCCAACTACTCCTTTCTTCCCCATGATTTGTGATTATTTTATTGCATGAAGAGTTAGATATTAATGCTGTTCCAACACTAATGAGATGCTTTCCATGGGGAAGGTCCCATGGAGGAGCATAGTTGAATAGTAATTGATCTATGTTGTGAACATATGTTTAGCCTATCAGTTATGTTCTAGCCACTGAACTACGGATATAGAGGTGAGTAAGACAAAAGTATTCCTACTTTTGTGGACCTTATTTGAGGAAGACAGACAGCATAGCAAGTAAATGGCCACTGTGTATACTGTGGCAGTAACGCAGTGGTGATCACATGACTGATGACCTGTAATTTTTACAAACTGTTTATTTCTTTTTTTTCCCCATAATTTTATTGAGAGACAAATAGCAGTGAGACAGTTTCAAATCAAATTAGTAGGACAGTTCCAATAATTAACGCATTGCATACTGTCTTCCTAGTGGTTATTTGTTGTACAAGATGCAGACATGATATCCTATTTACAAACACTATTAGAACAAATCCTTCTATTCATTGAATTAAGAGAATGTAGCTATCTATCTATCTTAACCATTTTGAATACACAGATACAAAATGGTCATTCATCTGTATCCCCTTTTTTGTTTAGTTCCATCATTTAAATATAGGTGTGTGAACTCAGCAAAATATTCTAAAAGAGTCCAGTAGGCCATAATAGTATTGGGTCTTCTGCTTCATTGGAAATGTCAGAAGTGGTTGACCTGAGTCCTCTACAGCTCAACGTAACACCATGGCTTTACTTCTTATACTTCATTTTTATACTTTTCTGCTGGATGGTTAAGACTAAGATAAAGCAAGACCTGTGTAACAAGAATTGTAGTTTTTGTATCTGTTAAGGTCAGTCAAATCCTCTCAGGATTTATCCTGAGACCCTTGTACCTCAATTTGTAGATCCTTTATCAGTGTCAGCCATGTGGATGAGTCACGGCCATTGCTTGGCCAATGTGCTTTCTGTGAAAGCCTGAGAAAATGTTTTCTCTCCATGTGACTCTCCTTAGGCACACGCTACATCATCGATCACTTTCCTCTTTGGCCCCATAATCTCCTTGATCAGAAAATTTGGGACACAACTGAGTTACATGATGTTACAGTGTAGGTTCTCATATGTCCTGAGTCTTAATTGACCTTGGGAGGCTAGGGCCAAAATGTTGGCTATCCTTGTGACCCTCCTTTTTCTCTAATTTTGGTCTGCAAACTTAGGTCGTTAACCCTCCAGAAGAGAAGCTTATTGTTATTACTGTCCAACCTAGGCTGTTGAGCTTAACCTCATTATCTGTCTGAATATCAAACATCTTAGGCATAACATGGAACAAGTATTTTTCATCAAGTATTGATATTCTAAACTTTAAGTCCCTACAGAATATGATGAAAAAAATTTAAAAATTAGTATATATTTAAAAAATAGGAATAAACAATTATATATGTTTACACCTAAGTCCAGAAATCTAACTATATACAGCATTGTAGCAGGACAGTCCTGCAAGACTCCTTTTCCTATCTCCTGCCTTCATTCATGACCCCCTTCCTCTTTAAACAAACATCTACCCGAGAGACAGCTTGGCAACAGGCTGTTTATTTCTGTAGCACATTATTTGACTTTTCTTTTGTGTTCCACTTTAGATTTGATTTATTTTATGAATTGACCTGCTTCTTGGCAGTTGTGTTTTTGAAAATTTATCATCTCGGGGAAATGAAATCTTACACCTTTGCACAAACCTCTTCAAGATTACTCAGACGTTTTGAAATAAAAAAATGGAAATAACCCAAGTGTGCTCAGAGAGCAGATGTTAAAGAAACTGTGGTACATCCAGATCGTGAAGTACCATTCAGTAATTAACAAAGGACTTAGATGCAGTGACATGGGTGAATGTCATGGGGGTTATGCTGTGTAAAAACAGCCAACTTCCACATTTTATGTATTGTATGATTCTGTTTTTATAATCCTCATGAAATGATGAAACTACAGAGCTTGAGGCCAGGTTGATGGTTGCTGAGGGCTGGGGAACAGAGGCAGGGAGAGTGGAGCTGGGCAGAGAGAGTGGGGGGTGGCTCTAGAAGGGAGCGCGGTGATCTGTGGTGTTGGAACTGGTCTGCATCCTGCCTGTGGAGGATGTGCAAACCTGCGTGTGTAACACATCAGCCTCATGCACAGACACACAGAAGTGTGTATGTATAAGTGAAACTGAGGGTCTCTTAGAACAGTGGATTGTAGCAGTGTTGGGATTCAGGTTATGATACTGTACTATAGTTTTCCAGGCTTTTATCTTTTAAGGCAGCCAGGGTACACAATAGCTCTTGGTATTCTTTCTTATAATTGTAAATGAAACTATAGCTGTCTCCAAAGAAAACGTTTTTCAAACAAGAGGTGAAATAAATTTTAGTAATAATTTGTAAGATTATAAATAATTTATGAAGTAGCATTTAACTCCATATATTAAAACACTGCCATCTTTTTTTTTTTTTTTTGCGGAACCAGGGATTGAACACAGGCACTTGCCAGGGAAGCGCTTATTGCACTGAGCCATCTCCCCAGCCCCAAAACACTGTCATCTTACGAATTGAATATAAAATATTAGTAAGAAAAAGTCCACTTTCTGCAATCCCAGCAATACTTACCGTTTTTTGTTATTTCAGTTAGATGGAGTCAGAGTTGGCACTCATATTAGGGATCCTGGGTGTCTCTCTCCCCCATAACCAGAAGCTGTTTCTCCCATAGCTCTCGACTGTGTCCTTCCCTCCCTGCATGCGCCAGCTGCACAAGGCCTTGCGGGAAAATCACCACCTCCGGCACGGAGGCCGCATGCAGTACGGGCTCTTCCTGAAGGGCATCGGTCTGACCCTGGAGCAGGCTCTGCAGTTCTGGAAGCGAGAGTTTGTCAGAGGAAAGATGGATCCTGACAAGGTAATTGTGGAAAGTTAGAGCACTAGCTGAAATTTTAACTTAGTCTGGAAACTAAAGGCTCTGTTTGTTTGTTTGTTTGTTCATATTAGAGCCTATTAGTAGTACAGAATGATAAGCTTCATTTTGGGAAATGCACGTGCATCTTGATCATATTCAGCTCCATTTACCTTCTCTCTCCTTTTTCCCCAACTCCTCCTGTTCCACTCCCCAACCCACGTGTTTAGACCCCTTGAAAAAAAGTCTAAAAGTTCTGTCTTTTTAATACTCTTGGAAATTCTAAAAGATAAATGTGTCTGCAAGGTAGTTTAGGTCAAAAGGCAGTTACGTAGTAGGGTGTGCTAACCAAAGACTCAGGACAGATAGGGTCTCCTTTGTTGGTATGCAGCTGTTGGTAGGAATTGTAAGACTGAAATTGCTTCCTGTGTTGTTTCTGTAGGACTGTATGCACATACATAATGTTATGAAGGCAGGAGATACTGTGAACAGTTACAGTAAAAGCAGTTAAAGTGTGTTATACCGAATCTTTCATAGGGCATGATTATTAGTCCCTACAAAACTGATCATCTGTTTTAAAATTTATCTCTGGTATTTAGATTTTTCATTCCTAGTTCTGGCTTCTTTTCAGTCATGCTAACTAATAATATTTTATTTTGAAATATGTTTTCTAGCCCCTTTTATATGACCTCGTACTATGATGTAAATGCTTTATTTCTTGGCTTCTTTTTAATGTGAAAGGCTAATTAGGAAACATTTTATATATATATATATATATATATGTGTGTATATATATATATATGTAATGTATTTGGTTATTACAGGGTTTCACTATGCAGCTTGGATTCATAGTGTTCTTCTTTTTTTTTTTAATGTGTGTGTGTGGTACTGGGGATTGAACTCAGGACCCTGTCCTTGCCAGGCAAGCGCTTATTCTACTGAGCTATTTCCCCAGGCCCCCCCCCCTTTTTTTTTTTTAATGTGCATAGTGATCTTCGAACAGTGGTCCCTGCACTTGCCTAAGCAGGCGCTTTAGTCTGCTGAGCTCACTGACCCTGGAAACAAAGAATATTGATAAAAACATTTTATAGCAAACACCTTATTATGTTATTTGTTCTTTTGCTAGCATTTCCATAACTAAACACCAAAGCCTGGTTGGCTCATCCAATAGAAATCTGGAAACCCGAGCTGGAGGGGCTGGTGAAGTCGGTTTCTCCAGGGGCGCTCTCCTTGCCTTGCAGATTGCTGTCTTGACACAAGCCTTCTCCATGTGTCCCTGCAAACCCCATGTCTGACGGCTGACAGCACAGCTCATGTGCTAGGCTCCTGGTTAGCAAAGCTAGCTCTTTCCTTTCCAGTCAGGGAGGAGGAGCCCTCCTCCAAGAGGGTCTGGTGAGAACTGTGGCCAGAGGAGCCCACTTTCACCGGGGAGTGCAGGCTGCTTTCCTACCTCTGCCAGCTCCACACTCATTTTACCTGCAGGCACGCCTGGCACAACACCGTAATGCCCCACCAGGTGTGGGCTTCACAGCCTGGCCAGGGGACACGCAGAGCTGCAGTAGGCAAATACTTACAAGTTGGAGGAAAAGGCAGTGGTGTTGGGAGTAGGAGAAAGAAGTTGAGCTAGCATTTTTAGCTGGTTTGTGCTATAAACTAGAGGAACAAAGGAGAGGGAAGGGAAAAATCAGTGCCGCTGGCCAACGTGGGCCTCTCCTGTGTGTTCTGGTCTTTGTGGCTTGGACATTGTTCGCTGGTGTGTCTTCTGTCACATCTGGGGTGGTCTGGGTGTCACTGGGTTCCACATTGCAGGTTTTTAAAATTTGTGAAATTTTTTCTTATGGGTTATTTTGCAATATAAACATTATGTAAAATTTATATATTATGAGTAATTCCTTTGTAGACATAGCAAACTGTGTTTTCATAACCTTATTATAACAAATATGTTTTTTTGACCAAGAGATTGTTAAGTTACATTTACAAATCACTGGCTTTTGGCTATTCTGTTGTTATGTAGTCTATAAGTAAATTGTCATGTTTTTCTCAGTTGTTAACTTCTACAATGCAACTGAGTGATACTAAATTATAATATTCTCCTCAATTTAATAGCTATACCTGTCAAGTAAAATATTCAATTAAAGTAGTCTTAAGAGGCATAGAAAATACTATTATTAAAATGCTATTTATGTTTTGTAGACTGGTTGTGGAGGATATATATTAGACGTTTTTCCAGTGCTCTCAAAGACTTCGGTGAGAAAGAAAGTATCGTTGAGTAATGTGAGATGAGAAGGTTATGAGGTGGATCATGCTAGAGAATAAATCAGGGTTTGGAGAAGTGAATGGCATCAATTAATGGAGAGAAAACTAAGCAAAAATATACCATGCACAAGAGATGAAGGGAAAATAGACAGAAAATTTGTTCACTCTTCCATTGTTTGCTTCTCTGCTATAATTCTTCTGTTCATCCTTCTGTTGTTTTGTTAGCTGGTTTGGACATTGCTTTGTATTTGGTGGTTGTCGTTTAAAAAATAAAAGGTGAATAAAAGGAAATAAGGAGAAGAGATCTCATGCAGACAGGAGAGGACCAACACCAACAGTGGACGGGGGAAGAAGAGGAAGGAGACCTGAAAAGCTTTTAAGATGTGCTGTGTCTGTGGACCAGCTAGCCACAGTGAGTGTAATCATTGTATGACACCCACATGGACTAAAACAATAACAATCAGATGATGAGGAGAATGTGGGAAGGAGATCTAGAGATGGAGGGAGTGGGGGAGGGGAAAGGAACCATAAATAATGAAGATGCGTTATGTCCAGGTATCTGTTCCTTAAGACGAATGAAGCAGCAGGTATGGCAAACGTGAACAGATAAAAGAAATCTTAAAACAGTTCAATCTCTGCACTGGGGGGAAAAGCTCTGCTTCCACATTTGTCTTCTGAATTTACTTTCTCTGTACAGTTGACTACTGTTTTATTTGAATGCATGTTTTACTAGAAAATAAGGGATCCTAGTAGTAAAACACCTTTGTTTTTTCCTTTTTGAGACAGGATCTCACTGTGTAGTTCAGGCTGGCCTAGGTCTTGCTTTGTGGTTCAGGCTGATCTCTACTTGATCCGATCCTCTTGTCTCAACCTCCCAGAGTGCTGTGTGTGCCACCACGCCCGGCTCAATACCAGCCATTTGTAAGGGAGCAGCCTGTTGTTATGAATGATGTTAGAGCAAACCAGTTGTTTCCTCAGTCCAAAACACTAGGTTTTTAATGAAACTTTTCATTCTTAGGCTTAACTGTATTTAGCATGAATATTTATGATATATTAAAAGTTTAAAATGCTAGTTGGAAACATTTGCAAGTTGCAATAGGATTCTTAGGATTTGTGAATAATTCTATAAGAAATACTTGAAATTTTGAAAATTTTATTCCTTAAGTAATGTCTAAGATTTCTGAAATAAATGCACCTATGCTTTATGCAAATAAAATGGATTTTGTTTTATGTGTGCTTTTCTTAGTTGTAATTATAATTTACATACCAGTCTACCTGAGAAAAATCCTCACTGTGTATAAGAGATTAAATTAACCAAATCTTTATGTAAACCATGAAAAAACATACCTCTAAACTATTCTCTCACTTGGAACTTGAGTATAAATCACTTCAGCCTCTAGAATTAAATTGAAGTAGATAATTCATCTAATAAACTCAGAGCAATGTGTCCTCTCAATCATATTTCCTACAGTGTTATTACTCTGAATTGCCTTAACCTGGCTCTATTGGATATTAAGCACAACATAGATCATGCACATTTTATGTAGCTGAAATTCCTGTCCTTGTTGATAGCATATTTAAGATCCACTCTCTGTTGTTATAATTGGGTCAAGGAACGTTTAGCACTGTTTAAAAAGCTTATCTTTTGTCCCAGAATCTAGTTTGCATCATGACTTGGAGCAGGCTGATGCTGTTAAAATTGACTATCAAAGGATTAAATGTTTGGCTTATGAGGTGTAAGTATAGGAAGCATATTTACTGCCAGGGTATTTTTAAAGATGAGTGGATCTCAGTGTCAACATCATTTGTGAGTTTGTTACAAGGGCAGATTCTCTAAGTCAGGTACTGTGAAGAGGGCCCACAACTTCCACAAGAAATTAATGTGTAAGGATTCTTAAGAGCCACTGTTTTAAACGTCATTCTTCTAGAAATCTAAAGTGATTATTGGCCTATCCAAAGAACAGGCATTGAAGTTCCTCAGCTTTTATTTGTTCTTCTATCTGCTTCTGTTGGCCGTTTGACCATAATGTGCTATCACTGGTTGATAACCCACACATGTATTTGAACTCCTGTTACATGTCAGATATTAGTAAATACTAAAGGAATATGTGCAGCAGAGGTCTTCAGCTCACATACAGTAATACATTTCCAGTGTACTACAGTGTTGATCCCGTGATCCCTTGAGGAAGCTAGGCTGGGCTGTGGTACAGCTGGTGCTTTTTGCTTTTTAAATATCATTTTGTATGTGCCCAGTGACTCGCAGAAGGTTGGAAGGAACTGATCCAGAGCACGTGCTTGGTGTCAGCCCTGTCCAGTTTTGGTTGCTCAGTATGCAGACTCCATGGACCTAGGCGAATTTGCTGACACTGTTGGCTCCTACAGAATGTGTACAGCACTGACATACACAAATAGAGACAGTGGTAAGGAATCAAAGGTTCAGTACAGATCCTGACCAGTCATTTTTGGTATTCATAAAGAAAGAGAAGTTAGCTTGGCCTGGAATAATCGGTAAAGTTTCCAAAAGTAGAATAAACTTTGTGCTTGCTTATTAAAAGATTTCATATGAGATTTTCATACAGTGGAGAAGGATAAGGACAAAGAAGGGAATGAGAGACTGAATTACAGCAGAGCTTATTTTCTATAGATGTCCAAGAGGTGTATGTAGTGGAATGGATTCTGGCTGTCTTCTATGGGCTGCTGAAAAAAAAAAAAAGTTTGAAGGAGTCAGGAGTGGTGACATATCCCCAGCA